TCAACAAAAACTGCTGGGAAAACTGGTTAGCAGTCTGCAAAAAACTGAAACTAGATCCATGTATATCACCCTATACCAATATTAACTCAAAATGGATCAAGGATCTTAATATCAGACCCAAACTCTAAGTTGATACAGGAAAGAGTAGGAAATACTCTGGAGTTAGTAGGTATAGGTAAGAACTTTCTCAATGAAACCCCAGCAGCACAGCAACTAAGAGATAGCATAGATAAATGGGACTCATAAAACTAAAAAGCTTCTGTCATCAAAAGAAATGGTCTCTAAACTGAAGAGACACCCACAGAGTGGGAGAAAATATTGCCAATCAGACAAAGGACTGATAACAGAATATATAGGGAACTTAAAAAACTAAATTCTCCCAAAATAATGAACCAATAAAGAAATGGGCAAGTGAACTAAACAGAACTTTCTCAAAAGAAGAAATTCAAATGGCCAAAAAACACATGAAAAAATGCTCACCATCTCTAGCAATAAAGGAAATGCAAATTAAAACCACACTAAGATTCCACCTCACCCCTGTTAGAATAGCCATCATTAGCAACACCACCAACAACAGGTGTTGGAGGATGCGGGGAAAAAAACCCTCTTACACTGTTGGTGGGAATGTAAACTAGTACAACCACTCTGGAAAAAATTTGGAGGCTACTTAAAAAGCTAAACATTGATCTACCATTTGATCCAGCAATACCACTCTTGGGGATATACCCAAAAGACTGTGACACAGGTTACTCCAGAGGCACCTGCACACCATGTTTATTGCGGCACTATTCACAATAGCCAAGTTATGGAAACAGCCAAGATGCCCCACACTGACGAATGGATTAAGAAAATGTGGTATCTATACACAATGGAATTTTATGCAGCCATGAAGAAGAACGAAATGTTATCATTCGCTGGTAAATGGATGGAATTGGAGAACATCATTCTGAGTGAGGTTAGCCTGGCCCAAAAGACCTAAAATCGTATGTTCTCCCTCATATGTGGACATTAGATCAAGGGCAAACACAACAATGGGATTGGACTTTGAGCACATGATAAAAGTGAGAGCACACAAGGGAGGGGTGAGGATAGGTAAGACACCTAAAAAACTAGATAGCATTTGTTGCCCTCAACGCAGAGAAACTAAAGCAGATACCTTAAAAGCAACTGAGGCCAATAGGAAAAGGGGACCAGGAACTAGAGAAAAGGTTAGATCAAAAAGAATTAACCTAGAAGGTAACACCCATGCACAGGAAATCAATGTGAGTCAACTCACTGTATAGCTATCCTTATCTCAACCAGCAAAAACCCTTGTTCCTTCCTATTATTGCTTATACTCTCTCTACAACAAAATTAGAGATAAGGGCAAAATAGTTGCCGCCGGGGGCAACTATCGAGGGGGTGGGGGGAGAGGGAGGGGGTGGAATGGGTGGTAAGGGAGGGGGTGGGGGCACGGGGGAGAAATGACCCAAGCCTTGTATGCACATAGGAATAAAAATAAATAAATAAATAGAAAAGATAAAGTTTGGGTTGGCGGTTCATGCCTGGGATCCCAGCATTTGGGAGGCTGAGGCAGCAGAATCCCAGTCCAAGGCCAGCCTGGGCTTACATAGAAAAGAAGAAACTATAGGGATAGGAAATAGAACAGTGTTGCCAGGGGCTAGGGCCGGAGGAGGGCTACTGATGATGACAGAGCTTTAGGCTGGTAGGACACTTGAATAGAACTGCAATGGGTACATGACTTACATATTTGCTAAAACCTGTAGAACTGCATACCTCAGAGTGAACATTACTGATTGTAAATTAAAATGAGACCAACCAGGATTGAGTGAAGCCTCTGACGAAGGAATCTGTCTTATAAATGAATCAAATAAGACACAGGGAATGAAAATGAAGAAAGAGCTGACCTAAATAACTTTGGGAGAAGATGCATTTTGTTTGGATTCTATAAGGCTCAACAACAACACATACATGTGCACACACTGATGAACACTGCACTCTGGTAAATTTGTTTCCAACATACGTCTACATATATATATTATAGACATAATATATTCTGTATATATGTGTATATATTCTAGAGATGAATAAATATATTTTAGCAAATGAGAGTGAGGTTTCTTGCCCTGAGAAAGAAAAGAGGAAGGCATGAAGGAATCCTGCAGTGCTGGGTTGTATATGTGTATCAGTGCAGGTTTTGTTTAATATGCATATACAGACAGATGGCTACAGAAGTAGAGATGCATGTTTTGGATGGGTTTTTACCTACATACATGCATTAGGAAACTCTAGTCACCAAGGGAGACAAGAAAGGACAACCCAATGGTGACAAGCACACCAGCTCCCAGATCGAGATTCAAAGGTCCCAGGAACCAAGCTGAAGGAGCTCCTGGTGACCAAAGTTGGAATTTGAATAGCAAAATAAATGAGGGCATCCTAGTCCTACTTACATAAACACTTGAGCAAAAAATAAGGGTCAGAGACAGCCCTCTCCTGCGGAAGAATTCTAATTAATAAATGCACAAGGTCTGTGAATCTAGAAATCACCTTAGAATACCACAGTAATTATTGAGTCATGATCCACTGATGGATGCTAAAATTAGTGGGGAAGAAGTTTAGGTAGAAATAGGTATTTACAGACCCTTAAAGTGTTTCCCCCAAATTATGTAATAATTGCAAAGGGAAAAACAGTAACTTTACAGTAGAAAAATCTAGCAGACACCATGTTGACCAAGGGATCAATATATCACACCTGGACATCATATGCTCTGATATGCACTGAGAAGGGCTCATCTACTCTGGAGACCTGTCCCAGTAATCCTAACGAAAGCCAGACAACCCGAAATTGAGAATCATCCTACAAAATGAGACCACTACTTTTTTTTTTCCTGGTGGTGGTACTGGGGTTTGAACTCAGGGTCTCACATCTGCTAAGGCAGGCACTCTATCACTTGAGCCACTCCACCAGCTTTTTTTTTGTGCTGTGTATTTTTGAGATAGGATCTTCCAAATTATATGCTCAGGCTGACCTTGAACCTTGATCCTCCTGATCTCTGTCTCCTGAGTAGCTTGGACTACAGGAGTGAGCCACCAGTACCAGCTCAGACCAGTACTTTTTAAAAGTGTCAAGGTCATTACAGACAGAAAAACTAAGGAAATGCCTCAGATTGGAAGAGGCTAACAGAGCCACAATAAATAGCACAATATGGATCCTGGAGTAAAAAGGGGAGCTTAATGGTAAAATACAAGTACAGTCTATAGTTCCTTTTATGGCATAATGTTAATTTCTTTGTTTTGATTATTTTTCTATAGTTATACGAGATGTTCACATGAAAGGAAACCTTATGAAGAGTATGTGGGAACTTCCTAGTTATTTATAACTCTCTTGCAACCTAAAGTTATTTCAAAATAGAGAGGTTAACTTTAAAAGAGCTATGCTTCAGAGCCAGGGCTGTAGCTCAGTGGTAAAGAGCTTGTCTCGCACACGAGGCCCTACAGTTACTCCCCCATGACCCTTTCCCATTTTCAGTGCTGCCCTTAACCCAAGCCAACAGTGCTTCTGGTCACTGGAGTACCATCCTCTGAAGTCTCTAACTCACCCTTCAATACCTGTGGAGTTCCTAAACCAGGACCCCATACTCCAGGGCTCCTCGTCCCCCTCAATGTTCTGTCTTCTCCTCTACACTGGTGTGGGGCCAATCAAAGGGAGAGGATCCCTGGGACTTGGTCTTCCTGATCATCCCTGGAGCTGAGTACAACCCTAGCCACCTTGGTATTACTTTCAAGGAGCCACACTAAGATTGGGAACCACAGTGGTGCTGCCATGCTAATTTAGGATGATCCAAGTCATTTCTATGAACAGGAGCTCTGCCAAAAAATATTTGCCCAGGATAGTCACCTTATGGGTGACCCTGTGAATTTCTGTCTTGTATCACACGTGCCTTGATAGATTCCTATCTTAATTGTGTCTGCATCCCTGTCCCACAATGGTGCCAATTTAAGTGCCTTGTAATGTTCAATAAGCATTTCTCAGCATGAATGCCTGAAGGAGTAATACCTCGGGTGTACATTTTTTTTTGGAGGGGGAGTATTGGGAATTGAACTCAGGACATCACACTTGCTAGGCAAGCACTATACCACGTGAGCCGCACACCCCTGAATCCTTTTTGCTTTTAGTTTTTAGTTTTGTTTTTTTTTAAATAGGGTCTCCTGCTTTTGCCCAGCTGGCCTACGACCAAGATCTTCCTACTTCCGCCTTCTGAATAGCTGGGATTACAGGCATGCACCACCACACCTGGCTACATAGTTCTTTTGAAATGATTCTATGTTTTTTCTACACACATTTCTAGCTCTCCATCATTCTTCTGAGTGACAAAAAGGAATTTCCAAGCCCTCTAGTCACTGACCTGACCGTTGATGCACTGAAAGCTTATCAAGAAGGAACAGACACGCCTCCAGATTCTCTTGACAGCAAACTGAATTTCAACTCCACGGCATGTGAAAACAACAGGGCATGAAAATGATGGTCGAGTGGTTTCAAGTTAGGCAGCCCGGTAGTTTGGATTGAACAATGCTTTGGCTACAATAAACCATAGTGATAGAACGTATGTTTGTCGTACTTTGCTTTGGATCTATTGCTCCGAGGTTGAGGATGCTCTCCCAAGGAAAGAGAAAAGGAAGAAGAGCTGGGTGGAAGAGAACCAGCTTCACCCATCACTGAAATACTTCGTACCTGAAGCACAGCCACCTTGAGAGAAGAACATGGTGGCAGCTCTTCACAGTCACCTGATTAAGGGCCTTGGGTCTGGTCCTGACTCAGAGGGAAATACACCGCTACTGAGAGGCCCCCCCACAGAACCTGAGCACTCACAGCCAAGCCTGGGCTTGGCCCCAGAGGACATATGAGAAAAGATCAGCGCCACGGAGAGGGTGGGAGGCCTGCGGTTGCCAGGTCTACCCACATGGATCACAATGACTGCATGAGGTCATGGAATGTTGAAGATGAAATGAAAGGGGCTCCTAAGTCACAAAGTCGCAGGTGGATGGGCATCCTTTTGACAGGACTCCTGGGAATAGAGCTGTACCACTCTCCCTGATGAGCTGGGGCGGGAACTACCTCTCCCAGACAGAGTTTGGGTCAAACCCATGCATGTCCAGTTCCTACCAAAACCCATTTTCTCCCAGGTTTGCTGGAATGGAAGGATAGCTGCAGGCTCCTCTGGGTCCCGCCTACACCAGGGCTGCATACACAGTTTGAGACACAGTTGAATGGACAGGAGTGCTGCTTAGGGAAGCAGCCACAAGGTGACAAGAAACTGGCACCAGTCCTCCTGTGAGTCCTGACAGCATGGAGGATGACGAGCCTCTTGAGTCCACGACAAAAGGTGAAAAGGCATCCCACACAGGTCCTCCCAGTGTGTGGGACATAGCACCCAGTGATCACGTGAACCCCAAAGCTCCTTGTCTGCCTGGTTTCCTCGAGAACTGGGATAATGTGTTACAGTAACGTGGGTTCAAACAGTGAGACAATTGGATGCTGCGCTGGAACCGGCCCATACTGACATTTTGTGGACCGGTTGATGTCACATTGGTCATTAGAAATCAGTCATGTTGGGAGTATTTACACCGTGTGAATTGGCTGACACTATAAATCGTGGTGTATATGTGTGTGTGTGTTCCTGGAGAGCCAGTTGTTAAATATTTAGTGGCATCTCACTGGTTGAGAATGGAATTCTAAAATTGTTTGACTGATTAGGAAATTGAGACTCAGAAATCCTTCAGTTTTCTCAAGGTACTCAGCAAGAGTTTGGCATTTCAGCTGTTCTGTGTCTTCTGATTGGCAGGCCACTGCCATTCATGCCCCATGTGACACAGATCTTGTCTCACAGGTTGAGAAATAAATGTGGGAACCCAGATCAATTAGTAAGGACTAAGAAAGACACAGGCCTGCATGGAACTATTAGGAGCCTGTCCATCCTATAATCTGAGTGGTCAAAATGTGTACTCCTGCCACAGATGCTCAGCCTACCCAAAAGTAGGCCGGGCATATGCTCATAGACCACTGGGAAGGACAGCATGGCTTCCCAAAACTGAGTATGCTGATGTTGGAGATTCAGCCCAGATTTATGTGTGGCCTGCAGGAAGCTGCTGGTCCCAGATCATTGGTCCCAAACCACTACCAAGTGTAGGGACCAGTGTGAGGGAAGCTCTGCTCCTTCTACCTGCATCTCCTCAAACCAAGACACGTGTGTAATCATAGCAATGTCAACCCAGGAAAGCCATTCACGCCTCTTCTGCCTGGTCATAGAAATGACATTAGTTTGGAAGGAGGAGAAGCTAGGTCAAATTCTTAGATGTCAAGTTGTTTCTCTTGCTCCCTGAAACTGTTCCTAGTGCGTTTTTACTTTGCATTTGACCCCAGTTGCCACCTGCCCAACCCTTTCTCCTTCCCAGTATCATTTGTGTCTGATAATGAGGAAGCGTAGGCCTTGGGTTGCATCCTTTCACCTGAAAGTAACAACAGACACTAAAAAAACTCCCCAAAGAAATAAAAAGGGAGACTATGAGCATGGAGCCTACCAAGACACCCCAACAGTGAATGGGGAAGGACAAACACAAGAGGGAGTTTGTCCCTTTGTCCCACCAACTATTAGGCCACCAGGTAGCACTGTGTTGACTCGGAGGGCTTATAGAATGGAGTCACCCTGGCAGTGCTGCTACAGAGGGGCTGCAGGGACAAAAGCTGCAGCCCGGATCTGGGAAACAGAGAGGAGCAAAGACCAAGGGAAGTCAGTGGCAAGTGCCCCCTTGCCCCCGACAGACCAGCAGGTTTCATTCCCAGAACCCAAGGAGATGGGTTTTTCTTCCAGATGAGACAGACACCGATTTGGCACCTCAGAGCAGCGATGACATGTTCTACTGTGAGGCCGAAGCACCCTCAACTGATGAGAAAGAGAAACCGTCCCAGGAGGATTCAGAAACGGACCTGGAGATTGAAGGTGAGCACGAGCATTTGGGGGTGAGGGGGTTAGCTGGCTCCCACGGAAGCTGGAGAAAGCTGGTTCCACCTAACCAGCCACCCTTCAGGGGGAATGCAGCAGAGGCTGTGCTCCAGTTCTGTATCATGTCCTCTTCCCAGCTGGCTGGAGACGACAACCACCACTGTGCCATGCCTGCCTCCTGAACAGCATCCAGGTTGCAGGCCAAGTCAACACACAAACAGAGCTTCTCAGCTTTAAATGTTTCCCTATGTGGCATCTCAGATGATCATTCCTTAGTCCCACTAGGTAGGCATTAAAATCCACCTTTTCTAGAAGGCCACCTTTTCTAGGGCTGGCCAAGCCCTCAATGGCTATGCTGCATTTGACACACCCTAATGATTTGCCTTCAGTATTCACTATTTCAGAGCCCTGGAGTGTCTGTGTCGCCCATCTTGCAGTCTGGTGACTTTCTGATCACCTTGGAGTTTTTGTTTGCCCTCCCGGAGAGCCCCCAAGTTTTCCCTCAACAAATCTAAGCAGCAGAGCTGGCTGAGCTGAAGCAGAGGCTCTATTCTTGCAAACACCTCCTCCTTCTTTTTCCTTCCAGTTGCCCCAAGGAGGGAAGAACCAAAAAAGAACATTTGTGAAGCAAGGGGAGAATGACACTGGTCACATCTCATGGGGCCACGCTGAAGCTAGTCCAAGTCATCCTTCCCCATCTGTGTTCTCACACCTGGATGGCAGGCAGTGATTCACAAGGCAACAGAAATGGATGAGGAATCTGCACTGCCATTAAAACTAAACTGACTTGTGCTCAAGCCCCAGTACCACAAAAAAAAAAAAAAAGAATTCCCACCATATTAAACTGTGCCGTTTATCTACATGGTTCACAAAACCTCCCCATCATAGTCAACATACAACTTCCACTCCTACACAGCCCTCCTCCCAACTTCCCTCTCCCCAAGACATCTGTTGCTCCCTTTGACTTCTTATCACTACTACTGCTGTCAACACCTGATTTTACCTGGTTAGAGGAGGTGACAAAGAGCTGGATGTTTTGCCCAAGGCTCCTGCTTGGATCTCATTCCCTCTTGTCCCTTGGTCCTCCCCAGCAAGAGATAACATTGTTGTATCTAAAACATAGCTTCCTCTAAAATATAACCACAGTGAGTATAGCTACAAAGTGTCAGCAGCAAGGGTCAGAGCAGAATTAGTCCCAAGGACAAAATTACCTTCCCTTCTCTGGCCAACAGGAACTGCTAATGGCTAAATTTATTATCCAAAACTCTCCAGGCTCCTGGTATGTCTGTTGCTGGAGCTAAGCTGCTGGAAATGGGGCAAGAAGGGCTTTCTGGTGAGAGGAGCAAGCTAGTTGGGGGTCCAGAAGGAAGGAGATAGAAGCAGGGTTTACTTGGGCTATTTCCTGTACAACAGCAGTTCTCACCCAAAGCTGGCTGTGCATCCAAGGGGACATGTGGCAAGCTAGGGGGTGGTGAATTTTACTGGCTTGCGGTGGGCACAGGCAGGGGAACCCTACTAAATATCGTACAAGGCACAGGACAGCCCTCAGAACAGAGAAGGATCCAACTCAAACTGTCAATACAGCAGAGACTGAGAAGTCCTGCACAACCATTCTAAAGAGAGGGCCAGCTTGTAGGTGTTTCTGCAAAGTCAGCTTCCCTGTGGGGTTGTCCTGTCCCCAACAAAGTTCCATTGTCTTTCCTAGAAATGCTTGGGTGAGTTGGCCAAAGGCCCTGGACTCTGAAGGAAAAACAGATCTGAACGAAACATAGATGCCAGCTGGCCACAGTAGGCCCTGCTACTGAGTAGACTTGCCTAGTAAGGACCCAGTTACAGGGTCCCCAGAATCAAAGGAAGCCCAATGCCCATTGACCATGGGCAGGCTTGCCCAAAGAATAAAGGGCCCAAGGGTTGGGATGGGGAGATGGAGTCCCCTCTTCTGTTAGTTGGTTTTAACACTGTTCAGATATGTAATGGGGCTACATCTGTCCTGGGGAAGCAGGGATGGTGTGTGGGAAAGTCAGTGCAAGTTTGCTTGCTTCTGACCTGTCTTGTGACAGTTTGGCATCTTGAGTTGCCCCTCTGTCTGACTTGGACCTTTTTTCTTTTTTTTTTTTAGTTGGTACATCTCTAACTCTTTGTCAAAGTTTTATTCATAGCTCATATTTTAATGGTGGTAGAGAAACTAAAACACTCCCTCAACCATCAAAAGTCACCAGTTCTGTGCCTACTGTTTCCACCTTTCAGGGCTGTTCCAAGGTGGCCAGGGGGGCTGGGCCTATATAGATATAAATATAGATATAGATATCCCCAGTGAGCAGTCGTTCATTGGATGTTAGCCCAGTGGTCGGGTGAGGGTACACTGATCCTCTCTCCTAGGAAGGCCTGGGTCCTAAAACCCCAGAGCCTCCTTTCTCACCAAAAGGGAGATGTCCATTTTGGGCTGACTTTGGAATTGGAGTTGGCTTCTAGACACATACCCATGGGGACAGATCTCTGGTAGTGGGGAGCCCAGTCTCAAAAAGGAGGCCATGGCTCAAGAGATAGAGCATCTGCCTAGCAAGCACAAGGCCCTGAGTTCAAACTTCAGTACAGCAAAAGAAAAAAAATAAAAAAGAACGTCACCTGGGTGGGGGGGCTAGAGGGAAGATAATGCAAAGGTGGAAGAAGGAAGAATAACCCTGCTTTACGTTCTTTCTCTGCAGATACAGAGAAGTTCTTCACCACTGGCCAAAGGGAGCTGTACCTGGAGGCCTGCAAAGTGGTGGGCGTAGTGCCTGCCTCCTACTTCATCCGGAACATGGAGGAGTCCTGCATGAACCTCAACCACCATGGGCTGGGCCCCAAGGGCACCAAGGCCATCGCTATAGCCCTGGTGGTAAGCATGCTGGGGTGGGGACATGGAACCTGGTGGAGGTAGATGGTCATCAAGATAGCAGGCCCTTCAGAGGGCTCCTCCTTTGGAGCCAAAAGAGCAACTTTTATGCCCACTTCCCTGAGCCTTGCTTAACTGCTGGAGCCCTATACCTTGAAGTCTGTGTTCTTTCCTTTTCAGGAAATGGCACCCACACTTGGGCCCCAGAAAAATGGCTGGGCTGGTATTGGGCTCGAGCAAACTCAAGAGCACAATACAAAATGCAGACCCAGGTCTCCATTCCAAACCTCACCTTTCCTATAGAAAACCTCCACTCAATAGCTACCTTTTGCAATGTTGTAATTTTGAAAGAATACACTGTAGAGCCAATCATGTTTTTCCACAGGAACAATGTTATCTCTTTGCTTGGCATGACCAAACAAGGACTTGACCTTGAATTTGTCATAGATTTATATATTATAATTGATTGCATACAACACTGGCTCTCATTACAAAGAATCTGACAATTGTATGTGAGTGCAACACTGTCTATTCTCTTAGGAAGGCAAAGAGAGAATTCAATTTGGAAGAAAGCTCAGTTAGGTGAAGAGGTAGATGTTCTTTTGAGGTGATTTTTAAAAATTAATACTTAAATTGTCTGTAGATAGAACAGGAAAACAAAAAGGACTGAGAAAGAATTCTTAAAGCATATTGCTTATAAAGGACCAGAAAGAAGGAAAAGAAAAAAAAAAAAAAACAAGCCAGTGAGCTCAATAGGAAACAAGTGATGGAAAGGTAGGAGAAGCTAGTTAGTGACAGGAAAGATGAGTGCCAGGAAGAAGGGGTCAGCTGGGCTCAGTGATGATGTCTAAGAAGACCATGAGTGAGGAGGGTAACTCTGTGCTTTGATGTCTATCCAGTTACGAAACACAAGGCAATTCCCAAAAACTTTGCAATACCCATCCTTATTTATTGCCGGAACGTAATCAATGTCAGAACGTAACCAATGTCAGAACGTAATCAATGTCAGAATGTAAACTCCACAAGACTTACGATGGGCACTGTTCATTTGAAATGCCAAGTCTCTAGCTGGCACTGGACATCTTTCTGGAATGCATGGTTTATTTTGCCCCATGCCCTGCCCCCACATGCTTACTCGCTTTTGAAAAAATAACAGCATTTGTATTTAGCATGTGCCCATTAAGAAGTTACAGGAAATGTGACGTTGTACTGTTTTTTGAGAGAAAAGAGCAGAAAGGAAACAAAGCCATCTAGGAGCTTATTGAGGGCTGAAAGGGTGATTGATGAAGTGTTAGGAATACACCATTACCTCATGGGCTTCGTGGGAACAGTGAAATCCTCTCAGGACTTTGGACACTGTCTTAGTGACAGCAGTTTCTGTTTGGGGAGGGAAGTTAATTCTCTGATTCTCTGTATCATTCACTTGACAATTCATCATTGTGACATTCGGTGTACTGAACTTCTGTTTGCTGTTGTACTGTTTAGCTTTTCACAGATTTGTGTCTTGCTGGCTTATTGCAAAGGACCCCGATAGTGGGAATCATATTTCAACCTCGGGTGCTTTCCTCACTGTGCCCTTGCACTTGGGGTGAGGGGGACTTGAGAGTAGGGATGTTCTCTATGTCCTCTTTGTTTCCCTAGCAGTCAGCACAGAGTGACAAGTAGATGCTGGCCCATGTGTAATGAATGGAGATGGTTTGATGTGTGGACCTCCTGCTTCCCCCTACGAAGGGCTGTCCCCAGCATGAATCTGGAAGTGGTGATAACCTAGGTGTCTAGATGCTGATAAGCAACACCCAGACTGGGAGGCACTGGGCCATCTCTCTTGCTTTTGAGCAAAACTGAGTTTGCCCACTCCAGAGAGCTGAGACCAGAAGTCATTCCACCCTGCCCCTGGGTGACCCATCCCACGTTTGAATCACTCCAACTATCACCTTTTCTTTTTTCTTGGAGGGAGAAACAGGCTCCTTACCACCTAATGCTTCTCTCACTGCTTGGTGGGCTTTGAGAATGCTTGAATCCAAACCTGTGTCTGTTCTCTGTACCTGCTTGTACTGGGAGCAAGGTGGAGCAGGGAAGAATAAAAGTTCTGGTTAGAGCTAACCCCAGTCCTTCATTATGCAATGCTAGTTGTTGCCTCTTGTCTTGCTCCCAGAGGGAACGCAGACTAGCTTAAATTTAGATATTTCTTTAATCTCTAAGTCCAACTCCTTCCAAGCAGCCTTATTAAAAGAATATCAGTAAAACAAGGTCAAACTGAAGGAAAAACACCCGGGAAAGCCAACACTTCAGAGGACCTCCTTGCAAGCATCTTCATGTTTAAGTTCACTTGTTAAAACTTATCTCACAGTAGGTAACAGGCCTCTCTCATGGGGTTCCTCTGTAAAAATCTCTTTGGCTAATACTTGTGCCTCTTACTTTTTACTTTTTAATGACCCCTTTCTAAATTCTCCCGGAAATGCATACTGTTTTAGCAAAATTCAGTGGGACAGTTCATCCTCTATGCTATTCTCCACTCTTTCAGAATTCCTAGTCTGCACTTTTGTACCCTCTGTATTAGTCCATTTTTACATGGCTGTAAGAAAACACCCGAAGCTGGATAACTTTATAATGAAAAGAGGTTTATTTAGCTCACTAGATTCAAGGGCTTGGCACAGGCATTAGCTTGGCTCTGGAAAAGGCCTCGTGGATGGCATCAAAATGACGGGACTATGAGTGAGAATGATCACATGACAAGACAGGAAGCCAGAAAAAGACATTCGGAAAGGCAGTAATGACCTTTCACTAGGCCCCACCTCTTAAAGGTCCCACATCACCCCACTGGGGACCAAGCCTTCAACACATGAACCCTTGACAGACAAACCACTTCCAAACCATAGCATCCTCTCATGTGGCTGGGATGTTCAACAAAGAAGTCAAGTTGTGGACCGGAATAGGCAAGGAGCCAACTAAGTCACCACTCACTCTGTGTTTTTCTCCTCCCTCCCTTGTGGTGGCCAAAGCCCAACACAGCTATCATCAAACTAGAGCTGGAAGACAACTGCATCATGGAAGAGGGCGTCCTCAGCTTGGTGGAGATGCTGCACGAGAACTACTACCTCCAGGAGCTGGTACTGTGCCCGGAACTCAGCTGAGTCAGACCAGAATTCCCCGCTGGCCTCAGGCTCCCCCTGCTAGCTAGACGTCTCAGATGAGGGCCATGAATCAGAGGCTGCCCGGGGGACTGTGTTCCCTGTAGCTGTAGGAGACACTAAGGAGTCATTTCTACTGGGCCTTTACAATCCCTAAATGGGTAACTTTACCTTTGCATAGTTGTCTTTCTTAAGGCATAAAATAAAGGCATGGAGGGGGAGAAATGGCCCAAACATTGTATGCACATATGAATAAACGAAAAATAAATAAATAAATAAAATAAAGGCGGTGGTAATGATTGTACAGTAAGAAGAGTGTGTTTAATACCACTGAGCTGTTCACCTAAGATGGTAAGATGATAAATTTTATATGTATTTTATCAACTCAAAAATTTGGAAAGGAAGGGGAGTTAACCAAGTGAGGCAATCACGGCTGGGCTAGACAAAGTCTTTTCCACTAGCCTGCAAGGATTATGTCTGTGCATATGCTTACGTCTTTCTTGTGTAATGATTCAGACTTTGTGAATCAGTGAATGATGTTTACATTGGTTATTTACTTTAAACTCATTTTTTCAATGGTTACCTGTTGAACTTGCCACATGAAGCTGCCTTGGGTTTCAAAACAACAAAACATTGTGCTCATCTAAAGTATCAGAGCTAATCTGGGGACATGGGGAGTCATGGAAGCCAAGTTCAGAGAAAACTGAGACCACCTGGGAGGCATGAGAGAAACCAGTCTCCCCCTTCTCTCTGCCCTTCACACAACCTTTATCCTAATCTTTTCACCCCAGCCCCCTGTCCCTTCCCCAGCCCTACTTCCTCAATAAGTCCCACCCTCACCCCCCTTGTTAGGGCCCTTTGGTGGGATGTTTATATAATTGTGCTCTTGCCTTTTAGAATATCTCCAACAATGAACTTGGTTTGGAAGGTGCCAAGATCATCTCAGAGTTCCTCCAGGGAAATATCTCCTCACTGTGGAAACTGAAGCTTTCAGGTGAGCCCATGGAAGGAGAGAAAGGGGACACTAGGAACAAAGGGAAAGGAGAGGGGAAGATCAGAGAGAATCCAGGGTCTCGCAGAGCCACACCAGATCCTTCATCCTCCCCCTCATGGCCACTCTGACCTCCCTTCTTCCTTACCAAGCCTCTCTGGTGGTGCAACACTCTTCTCTCTTCTTGAAGGTCTCCACTGTCAGATTCCCTGCCTGGCCTCTTCATTCACATCTCCACTCACACATGGTTCCCTGGGAGATCCTATGCAAACAGTAGCTCCCCATCACCATCACTCTCTAGCCTGATTCTCCAATTGGTTTAGCCATCTTTATTACTGCTCGATCCCCAATTCTATACCTATTTTTAAATTAGCTTATTAATCATCTGCCATAGGGGGAAAAAGAGTCACTTGACAAGTACAGTATTCATAGCTCTATGCTATCTGCAGGGTCCTGAATCCCTACACCAAGATATGAGAATGGAGAGTAGCCCTATGCTGATAAGACTAGGACCTCTTTGGAGGAACCACCCCTTGACCCAGGCTCTTTGAGATTCCCACAGATAAAGCTCCACTCCAGGTGGAGTCCAAAAATTGCAAAACAAACAAGGAAACAAAACACTTTGAAAGTTGTCAGACTTAGCAAGTGGTGGGACTGGATCCTTAAGAACTTCATAAAAGAGCCAGGCCCTGGTGGCTCATGCCTGTAATCCTAGCTACTCAGGAGGCAGAGATCAGGAGGATCTCAGTTCGAAGCCAGCCCGGGCAAATAGTTCGCAACACCCTACCTCGAAAAAAACCCATCAACAAAAAGGGCTGGTGGAGTGATTCAAGGTATAGACCCTGAGTTCAAACCACAGTGTCACAGGAAAAAAGAAAGAATTTCATAAAGTAGAATTATCATATATAGATGATGAATGAATTGGCCATATAATTTGTTGTCCAATCTGACAGGGGCATTGATAACTGAAACAGCAGCAAATTAGGTTGTCTTGCATCCAGCCTCACAATGCTTAATATAATTAACAATATAAAAATAAATAAATAAAAACAGAAAACAAATTGCAGTTTTTTTAAAGACCTCTCCTCCCCCGAAGAATATCAAGAAATGAAAAATATGTAATCCCTGAAAATAAAAGATTCCGTGGATAAAGTTAACATATTAGACGCAGGTGAATAGAATTAGTGAAAAGCATAGAAAATGACAACTATAGAAAATATGAAAGAAAAGAGAATGAATAGACTCAATGTAGCTAACAGAAGTTCCAAAAGCAGAAGAGAATGAGCGAGCAGTGATATTTGAACAAATTATAGCTGACATGGTTCCTGAATTGATGAATTGTCAGATACAGTAAGCCTGTTAAGTACTAAAAAAACAAAGTAGGGGGCGGATAAGTAAAAAGAATCCACACCTGAATGTGTCACTGAAAAGCACTTAGGATACAGAGGTCTTGGAGTAGAGGTGTGGCTCAAGTGGTAGAGCGTCTGCTTTGGGTGTCTGTTTCATGGACACAAAGCCCCAGGCCCACCCCACCCCCCCAAAAAAAAAACCACACAAAGATCTTAAAAGTATTCAGAGGAAAAAATATAGGAATAATTTATTTTTAATATAAATTTTATTTTATGGCAGTTATCATTCTTCAATTTCTCATTTCCTCCTGAATATATCTTGGGTTTCTTTCTGTGACAGAGCAAATAGACTTAGCTCATTCTTGGGTAGCATTGCACGTTACAGAGATAGCAGAGCTAGCTTATTAGCACCCTCTATTGAGGGCAGGTGACCTAGCTCAGTCCAATTGGTCAAGCTTTCAGTTAATGTTTCAAAGGACTTTCTTGTGCAAACATCTTTTGAGCACATGTTCTAGTATTTCTATGTGGACACCCACGGGCATAATGACTGAATGTAAAGATGTATCCACTTCTGTGAAGTTAAATTTTAATTTCCAAATTTTCCCCTTAAGAAACCTGTACCCCTTAAGAAGCCTGGACTATTTCCTTGAACTGTCCCCAGGGTTATTAACAAGACATTTGTGAATCAACATCTTTTGTGCCTCATTTTTCTCATGCATAAACTAAGGGCAATTATATTATTTACTTAAATGGTGATTGTAAGGACCGAGTGGGTTAAAATCTAAAATGCCTAGGACGGGACCAGAAGTGTGGCTCAACTGGTAAAGCACCTGCCTAGCAAGTATAAGGCCCTGAGTTCAAAGCTCAGTACCACCAAAACAAATAAATAAACTGCCTAGAACACGATCCAGCATTCAGTAAGTGTCAATCACTATTATCTTCATTACTTTCCCATGTTAGTGTTGAAACTGAACATCTTTTCAGATGTTGGCTCCACCTTTATTTCCTCTTGTTTATATGATTTAGTTCTAGGTATTCTTTTTTTGGCACTAGGGTTTGCACTCAGGGCCTTGCACTTGCCAGGACTTGAGCCATGCCGCCAGCTCAAGTGTTAGGTGTTCTTTACAGTCTACAGATATTCACATTTGAATGTCAGAGAAGGAGACATTGAAGGAGATGTAGCAGTTTCTCCTGTTTTCTTGTGTCTGCATTGTCTGTCATCTTTTCTGTCTGATGGTTGGGAAGGGAGGACTGGCAGGGCTAGGACATGGGGTGGGGGGAGCTGTGGTCTAGAATGCCTTGCTAACACAGCCCCTTCACTACAGGAAATCAATTCAAGGAAGATTCCGCAGCACTCTTATCCCAAGCCCTGTCGGTAAGGAGTCACGTGGAATGGCCCTGGGGGGGTCTGGGTAACCTGAGGACTGCTCTGGTTATAATGAAGCAAACCACCTGCATGGTTCAGGGAACTGATAAATGTTTGGCTTCTGCCCACAACTAACAAAAGCTGTAGCATGTGGTAGAACTTTCAGGATGGCACTAAATTCTCCCAGAAGCCATCAACAGTTAAATAAATAAGAAATTGTTTTCTACCTAAGAACTCCAGCCCACCCAGTTTTTGGTGCTAGGAGCTCTCCATCGTGCTGCCCTGATGTAAGTGAGAAATTTGCTGTCAGAAGACAGAAAGGAAAAAAAAAAAACCTCTCTTGCCAGGTGTGTGGTGCATGCCTGAAATCCAGCACTCAGGAGGTTGAGACAGTAGGATCTCAAGTTCAAGGCCAGCCTGGGCTACGTAATGGGTGTGACAAGTGTGAAGCCAGCCCATGCTATATAGTGAGACTGCCTCAAACAAAAAACAAGTTTAAAAACAAAACTCTTTCCACCATTTCTTCCTCTAGTTCAATTACCGAATTAAGAAGTTGAGTCTCAGTCACAACCAGTTCTCTGATATAGGAGGGGAGCACCTGGGACAGACGCTAGGTACGTCTCCCTGAAGGGAAGGGACAGACATGATGAGGGACTGGGGGAGGGCTGTTTATCAGCGCTTAATCTTCTTTCAGTTTTAAATAGTTCTGAATGTTCAGATTTTTTTTGTGTGTGGTATGGAACTTGAACTCAGGACCTATACCTTGAGCCACTCCACCAGCCCTTTTTTGTGATGGTTTTTTTCAAGATAGGGTCTTATGAACTGTTTGCCTGGGCCAGCTTCAAGCTGTGATCCTCCTGATCTCTGCCTCCTGAGTAGCTAGGATTCCAGGTGTGAGCCACCGGCACCCGGCAGAATGTTCAGATTATAAAATCGGTGTAAACCATGTCCCAAATACATTTGAAATGAAGAAACATCTGGATGTGGGAAGTTAAACTTCCCAGTGATTAGAGGTCCACATGAAGAAACAACTTGCTGACCTGAAAGCTGCTCTTCTTACTGTGGCATGGTACACGTAAACGGTAATGAAAACAATCTGTATATCTGACACTGCATTTAAAACACGTGTATGTTAAAAAAAAAAAAAGAAAGAAAACATGATCAACTGTAAAGAACAAGCAGCAGACAGGGAGTGATTATTTGAGGCATTTGTATAACAATAAAGATTAGTGTTGAGACTGTTGATAAAAGGTCCTATAGATTGTCCAGCATGGTGGCACATGCCTATAGTTCTACTCAGGAGGCTAACGCAGGAGAACCATGAGTTCAAGGCCAACCAGGGCAACACAGTGAGACCCTGTCTCAAATTAAAAAAAAAAAATCCTATAGGTCAATTAGATGATGACAAATGTACCCAATAGAACAATGGTTAAAGCATATGGACAGCAAAAGAAGAAAGCCGACTGCCCAACCTCTTTAGTAATTAGAGAAATGCAACACCAAACAACAAAAGATTCTACCAAAGCTGTAAGGGTTTAAAGTCAGTGAATGTCACCTCTGCAGACAGTGGGGAGGAGTAAGACTACTCACAAGCTATGAGATAAAGGTAGTGAAGGGTGATTGCACCGTGTCTACAGGGTTGAAAATGGACCCACTCTGTGAGGAGCAACTCCCCTGAGCCACCACAAGAGGTTACTGTGGTCTTGTCAGAAAAGAAAAAGATGAGAGAATGGGGGTCCCTGGCAAATGAGTAAACTTTGGAAGAGGTGGCAAGAGAAGGCCCCATTAGGGGCTGAGATTTGAATAACAGAGAAGAAATCACCATGGTAACTTCTGGATGGTCAGCATTCCAGGTGGGAAGATCAGAGCATGGCATGTCTGAGGAACATGGAAGGACAGGGTGGCTGGAGCAGAGAGGACAGGGAGGAGGGTTTCCGTCTTTGCCATGTAGTGTTGGGAGTCAGTGGCCATTCAACTCCTGTGGGAAGTTGGGTTTGCTATATGAGTTTAGAGCCTGATGAAGAGGTCCAGGGCTGAACATAGAAGACACCGGCAGAAAGAGCCATTTAACCCTTGAGGCTAGAAGAGGCAAGGAGTGTGGAGAGTCAAGCAGCGGTCACCCTGGTGATGTAGACTGCAAAGGAGGAGCCTGAGAAGGAGTAGCCAATCAAAAAGAGGGAAGGCAGGAAAAAGAGCCAAGTAAGGGAAAACCTCAAGCAACATGATGCTGTCCACTGTGTTGGATGCTGCTTAGAGGTCAGATAAGATGAGGATAGGAAAGGACCCTGGGATTCAGAGGTGTGGAGATGGTCGGTGACCAGCCAAGTGCTGATTTAGTATAAGCCATGAGTATGGAAACCCAGCTAAAAGTAGTTAGGTTGAACACAGGCTGTAAAGAGGTGGAAAAAGCTCTAGAGGCAGCTCTGAGGGTTCTTCTGGGAAGGCTGGACAGCCTGGGAGGGGGGCCAAGACCCTAGGGGAAAATGCTGAAAGGACAAAAAGAAGAAGAAGCTGATGCTGCAGGAGGAAGAGAAGATAATGGCAGGAACAAAATCCTTGAGAGGCTGGGGGCAATGGTGCCCAGAACAAAAATGGAGGGGCCCCCTCAGAGCAACAGGGACATTGGTGCACTGAAAAGGGAGAAAATGAGATGGCTGGTGCAGGGGCAGCTGAGTGGAGAGAGTTGGTGTTCGAGGATGAAGTTTCTCCCTTACCCCACTTCCCCCACACTGCTGCTGTTGTGTTTTCAGTGAATATGAGGTTAGACCTTTTGCTAAGAGTGCCGTACAGACTGCTAGGGTTGAGGAGGGAAAACAAAATTTTGTGCAGGAGGGAACAAGGTATAAGGACAGTAAGCTGTTTGAGTCTATATTTGAAAGTTGAGGTCATAAATTTAAAACAAGACAGTGTTCTATTTGAATATGGTTGTCACACTGTAGATGAAACTCTTTATAACACTATTTTTAGAGTTACCCAATATTAGGTGATCACTAATGACAGAGGTCAGAGGTCATGCTTAAGTTTGATGTCAGTCTTCACAAGAACCCGGGACAGGTGAACAGGTGAATATGAACGGGTAAATACTCCATTTGACAGGTGAGGAAATGCAGTGAAGGAGGGGAGAGCACCTGGCTATGGTTTCACAGCTAGTAGGTGGTGAGACCAACGTTCAAGTTCAGATTTATGAGACACAGATATTCGAGGTTGCACCTAATGAGAGAATTGGCAGAAGGAAGGAAATAGGAAGAAAGTGAGGGAAGAGGGAAGAGAAAGAAAAGGAAGGCAGGAGAAAGTTTGCTTTCAAAATAGTTAGGGTGTGATTTACTAAAAGCACATCCTGGTGGTTAACACGCAGAGAAAGATATGATGGGCACGCAGTGCACTGTGTCCACAAAGAGAAGAGAACAGCTGGGGGCTGGGAGTTGTGAGATCAGGAGGACTGGGGTTTGAGATCAGCCCAGCCAAATAGAGAGACACCATCTCCAAACTAACCAGAGCAAAATGGACAGGAGGAGTGGCTCAAGCGGTAGAGTGCCTGCTTTGCAAGTGTGAAGCCCTGAGTACAAACCCCAGTCCCACCAAAAAAAAAAAAAAAAAGACAAAAAAGAATAATAGAACAAGTCATCTTTCCCAGATCTGAGTCCAGAAGCAATTCCTGCCACTCACTAATGGCTCCAGTGGCGTCAGCCTCTCCTACCAGTGGTGTCTTCCCATAACGAAATAAAAATAATAACAGCAGTTTAAATGGGAAGTGTTCCCAGCCTTATGGGGATGTAGGAATAAGCACCTTTTATTGGCAGTACTGGGGTTTGAACTCAGGGCCTCACACTTTCTAGGCAAGTGCTCTACCACTTGAGCCATACTCCCAAGTCCAAAAACATCTTTAAATTAAAAATATAAAAAATTTTTAAAAAGTTGTCATCTCTGTGCAAACCCAGATTCTCAACAAGCCTCAAACCTCCTACCTCCAGCTGATTGTGATCCTGAGGCTCTTCTGGAAGTTCCAGTGTCACCACTGTTCTGGAGGCTGCCCATATAAAAAGACATAATATACCATACATGCTATGTAATACACCATGTCCATTACTGCCTTGCTGTGTAAACACAGGCAAGAAGTTATTTTCTACACCATCTTCATCTGTTTTGATGGTTGTGTAATATTCCGCCAGGTGGATATTTATGGTACCCTTTACCCGTTCCTATGAGTCTCTAATTCTACCTTTTTTGGTGATGTCAAGATAAACACACTCTTACACACTCTTCTTAGGTACATGCTCAGAGTGATTGAGCATGTGTGTCTTAATGGCAAAATATCTGTGACCACATATTTGCCAAATAGAGTATACCAATTTACTTGTCACCTGTGAAAGAAGATCCCAGCATTGGGGATCATTCTACAGCTTCAAGTTTAAATGAATAGCTGATAAAGTTATGCCTAAGTGTTTTGCTTCATGTGCCTGTTGATTGGTCTTAGGGCAGCTTGCCATGGCTCTGTTAGCTAGGAGATTGGATTCTTTGGGATGTGGGAGATGCTAAATGACCCTCTCCCTCCCAGCCCTCAATGTAGGACTCGAGTCGCTGGATCTGAGTTGGAACCAATTCCACGTACGTGGAGCTGTAGCCCTTTGCAATGGTCTCCGGGTAAGGCGCCCTCTGAGAGTGGTGCATTGAGCCCGGGTGAGGACAGTCAGGGCCTCCCATCCGCCATCTTGAACCTATTCCTCATGGTTGCCATTAACGAGGCCTCCTGAGCCCTCAACAACTTTGAGTTACTGGGCTCCTTCCTTCCAGAATTCCTGGTTGCATATTATTTTTGTATAAATCCTACCTGAGGAGGCCTGGGTGGCATCTTCAAGAGGTGACACTTCAAGAGGAAGGAATTAAGGGGTAGGGAGTCCAGAACCTAAAAGGAACGACTTGAGAAATCCAAGCTAGACGGGCTCTGTCCCCCCAGGGAATCACTGAGCAGGGCTGGATGGCAGCAGGGGTGGAAGTCGGGCATTTGTCTGGGTGATTGAGGCGATGCTGCTTCCCTTCCCTGTAGTCTAATACGACCCTGAGGACACTGAATCTCTCCATGAATGGCTTTGGGGACGAAGGGGCTCTGGCCCTCGGGGACTTGCTCAGACTCAACAACACCCTGAGGTGCCTCGATATCAGCAGTAACGACATTAGCAACGATGGGGCCTCCAAGCTCAGCAAGGGCCTGGAGTCCAACGAAAGCCTCCAGGTGCTGAAGGTAGCCTTCCCGAGCCAGTGCATGTGGGGTGCGTGTCTGTGAGCATGTGTCCTGTGTGTGTCCTGTCCACGTGTGGCTATGTATATGGCCCTATGTGTCTGTCTCTATCCGTGTGTGTTCATGTGTCTGTCTGTCTGTCAGTGTGTATATGTGTGTCTGTGTTCATGTGCCTCACTATGTGTGTCTCTGTGCCCATGTGTGCCTGTGTGCCCATATGTGTGTGTCTGTGTTCTTGTGTGTCCGTGTGTCCATATGTGCCTATGTGTCTCTGTATATCTGTGTATATGTACGTCCACCTATGTGTATTTACATCTGCGTGGGTGTCCGTGTGTCCACATATGTGCCTGCCTGTGTGTCGTGTGTGCCTGTGAGTATGTGTCCCATCTCTGTGTGTATCCATGTATGTATGTCTGTCTGTGTGTCTGTGTGTACCTGTGTGTATATGTGTCTATATGTGTATCTGTTTATGTGTCTGTCTGGGTTGGGGTGGGAACTGCAGGGTGGGGGCCACAGGGCTGGAGTTTGCTGGAGAGAGTCATTGGGTCATCTGTCTTGTACTTCCTATATGCGCATCTTCCTGCCATCTCTGAGCTGTGGACCAGGTCCATCTCCACTCTCCATGGCATGGCACAGTCAGGTCCTCACTGGTCTCCCCTCATCCTGTCTGGGTCAGGCTTTTCTTCACGCTGAGGCCAGAGTGTGCTCCGAGGACACAAATCTGACTTCTGTTCCCTCCACCCCACAGTTTGCTCTCTTCTAGTTTAAACCCCAGTGGCTTTCTGTTTCTCAAGCCCAGTCCTCAGATTCCATGTGCCTCTCCAGCCCCTGTACCCACCATGCTCCCTGACTCTGCACCGAAGGCCTCCCTGTCTTCTCTCCTCTCCTTCTTCCTACCTCAGGCCACTCCCCTCATCTGAAGAAGGATCATGGTTCAAGACTAGCCTGGGCAAAAAGTTCACAAGACCCCCCCCCACCCATCTCAACCAATAGCCAGGCACAGTGGCGCACACATCTCATCCCAGCTTTGGTGAGAAGTATAAAATGGAGAATCGGGGTCCAGGCTGGCCCAGCAAAAAGCAAGTCCCTATCTCCAAAATAAGCAGAGCAAAAAAGCCTGGAGGTATGGACCAAGCAGTAGAGCACCTGCCTAGTTCAAACTGTGGTACCACAAAAAAAAAAGAAAAAAAAATGTAGGGTTGCTGGGGGGATAATAGATGTGGAGATCCTTCTATTGGAAGAACACGGATATGAGAAAAGTGAGGATGAGTCTGCTATCCCAGACAACCACCAGCCAAAGATGTTAAAGGGACAAGAAAGAGCCAGAGTCTTCCTGGCGTAGGGAACATGGTGACTACAGCTGGGACCAAACTTGCCATCTAGTGACCGAGACAGCTAAAGTCTAGCTGGGGTGGAGTGGAACCACACATAACTCAGAGAAGTGACCCAAACTGTAAGTGATTCAGCCTCAGGGCCTAATGGAAGCCAAGGATTGTTCTGAGAACCTGAATTTTAAAAGACTAAAGTTGCCTCAGTCAAGCGACAACAGGAACTCTCTGTGGTTAGTGAGGCTTAAGTGATTTAAAACATTTTTTAAACTTCCTAATTTTTCCATAATGGCCATATGTAATAAATGAATTTTAATTTTTAAAAGTGTTTTACAATTGACAAAGGAAAGTAAAAAATAAAGCCCTTAGTCCGGTCGCAGGCAGAGACCTCATTAACTCTGCCACAGGAGCAATCTATTGCTCTCCACTCCCACCCCAGGCCCCCTTGCCTAACCTTGGGAAACTAAGAAACCCGCCTGGGGAAGTGAGCCCTGCAAAGTCTCCACACTGGCAGGGCTCAAGTCAGTGTCCTCTTGCTTTGGGGTGTGTCAGAACCTGGGAAACATAGTAAATGCTCACTAGAACTTTTGGCCCCCTCTTCATGAATCCACCTGGCGAAGCCTTCCAAAACAATACCTGCCATTCACTGATCCCTTACTATGTACCAGGCACCTGAACTGTATGGCGAATCCCGGGAGCAGCCCTACCGTGATGATAGGTGGGACAAAGTGGTCAGGGAATTCGGTGCAAGACCAGGCAGCTAGGAAGCAGAGCCACCAGACTCCATGTCCCCTTCTCTTTACCTATCCATGTTTTGATGCCTCCCAGCACCGTTGCAATAATGTCCTAAACCCACAAGGGCATCCATGTTGTGGCGGCCTCATTCTCTGCTCCTTCTTACAGATCATGGACCCCACACCTCACTGTCTTTCACACCTCGACCCCTTTGCACTTGCCTGCCCTTTTCCTCCTCAGTGAATCTTTTTCCCTCCTGTGCTCCTGCTCCCCCTTCTTCAGACCTAATTAATCTCTGTTAGTCCAGCAAGGCTTAGCTCAAGGGTCCCCTCCCCTATGCTGGATGCTGCTTTCCTCACTCCTACTATAAGTGTGTGTCCCTCTGTCACTGCTGTTGTCACACGCCTGATGCCATTAGCTTGCTTTCCTATCTCCCCCAACTAGAGTGTTAAGTTACCTGAGGTCAGAAACCTTATCGTGTCTGCCTGTGTGTGCCTTGGTGCTTAGCTCAGTGGCTGGCACATGGCACACAGCAAATATTTGTTGGATGGAAGGGTGGATGGAGGGAGGGAGGGAGATGGGTGGGTGGGTGGGCAAATGTTTGGATGGATGGATGAAAAGGGAGATGAGTGGCTGGATGGATGGGTGAGTGGATAGGTTGGTGGGTGAGTGGTAAGTGGATGGATGGACAGCAGATGGATAGGGAGACAGATACTGATAAAGAAATCTGGAGGGAAGGCAGGTTGTGATTTGATGGGAGAAGGGAAATCATGCTTTGACCCAGCCTCTCCTGGCCCCATCTCAGCCTCCTCCTGTCTTGCCTCTCCTCCCACAGCTTTTCCTGAACCCTCTGAGTATGGAAGGGGCAGTTGTGCTTATCCTTTCCATCAAGAGGAACCCCAAATCCAGGATGGAAGAGCTTGACATTTCTGTAAGCGATCAAAGGGTAGCGGCTTGCACCAGGGCGTGAGTCAGTTACCACACTCTGCCCTAGCACCAATAGCTCAGTCCCTCAGAGGCCCTCCCACAAATGTTCCATAAAAGAGCCCTCCTTTTCATACCACTGCCCTCTCCGGGGGGCCCTCCAGTAGGAGTAGCCATTCAGTCAGTGACATCCCAGTGTGAAATAATTTACCAGGACATGAACAGCTGAGAGCAGATAAAAGGAAACACCAAGAGGAAAGGTGGAGGAGTGGGGGCTTGCTCAAGCAGTAGAGCACTCTGCCTAGTAACAAACACCAGTTCTGAAAAAAAAAAAAACCTCGAAAGGAAAGGCAGAGGGACCCCAAAACAGAATTTTTTACCATCAGCTTTGCTAATGAATGGACTGGATTTCAGAATGTTCCAGAGTCACAGGAACTTAACAATCTGGGCATTTAACAGACACAAACTTGTATTTTGATTTTGTGAGGCAGCCTGTTGCACTCAGAGTAATATTTGCAGGTTATCCCTTGATGAAGGACAGCCTGACCAGATGACTTGAGACACCTTCCAGGGATACTAGCCTGAATCCTCACAGAGCAGCAGCTGTTGCTAACAGTAGTTCTTCCTCATCTACCGCCTGACATTCTGGGTCACAACATGATTTTAAGATTCCAGCTCCTTTGACGCTGCTCTCGGAGGCCGGGAGGGGACTGTGCTTGTGTCCTAGGGCTGCTGTAAGCACAAACGGGGCTTTAGCAACAGAAGTGCATTTGTCTCATAGCTCCAGAGGCCAGCAGTGTAAGAGCAAGGTGTCAGCTGGGCCTGCTCCCCCTGAGGGCTGTGAGGGGCAATCTGCTCATGCTTCTGTCCTGGCCTCCAGTGGTGGCCAGCAGTCTTTGGTGCTCCTCGGCTTGTAGAAGCATTGCCCAATCCCTGCCTTCATCGTCTCGTGCCCTTCTTCCTGCATGCATGTCTGCTTCTGCTCAAAATCATCCTTTTCTTTTTTCTAATTATTATTGGCAGTACTAGGAATTAAACCCAGGATCTCATGATAGCTGGGCTTCATGCCCACTTGAGACATGCCCCCAGCCCTTTTTTGCTTTTTAGTTTATTTTTTCAGATAGGGTCTCCTGCTTTTGCCTGTGCTAGCATTGGACCTTGATCCTATCTGTGCCTCCCAAGTAACTAGGATTACAGTCATGTTCCACCAAGCCCAGCCCCGAAATCTTTTTGTAAGAACATGGTAATATTGGGTCAGGGCCCATCCTGATGACTTCATTCTAACTAATCATATCTTGCAAAGATCCTATTTCCAAAAAAGGTCACATTCACAGGTACTGAGGGTTAACTTCAGCCCCTCTTGGGGTAATGGAGCAAAATTCAACCCATGATAAATACTTTTCCTCCTTTTCCCTTTTCACCTATAAAAAAACCAAAACACAGAGCTTAGGTCATTTGCCCAGGACCCACACACAGCAAGCGAGAAACACAGCAAGGAGAAAGCCCAGGGCTCTGCCTCATACTCTGGAGTTTGTAAAGATAACAATGCCAAGCTGGGCATGGCGATACCTGCCTGTAGTCCCAGCTACTCGAGAGGTGGAAGTAGAAAGATCATGAGTGAGAGGCAGAGGAACAAAGATATGAGTTAGAGGCCAGACTGGGCAAAGTTAGTGAGACTGTACCTCAAAAGCAAAATGCAATCAAAGGGGCTTGGGCTGGAGATGTGGCTCTAACAGTAGAGCGTCTCCTTTGCAAGCATGAAGGCCTGAGTTCAAATCCCAGTCCAAGGGACTGGGGCATGGCTCATATGGAAGACTGAGGCCCTGGGTCCACTCCCAGGCACCACACGCACAAAGAAAGACAATGTCAAAATCCTTTTCAGTGTTTACTTTCTTTCATTTTGCTCCCTCACCCCTTCCTGGATCCTTCTTGTGCTCCTGGATCTTTCTCCTCTGAGGCTTGTCTCTCTTCCCTCATAGCAAGGTACACCCCGAGCTCCTACCTGCTCTGCCTCTGAGCCTCACCCACAGGTGCAGATTCTGTTGCCATCATCCTCTCCCCCACAGATAAGGAAGTGTGGATCCGGGCGCTGCCCTGGCGGGTTTGAGGGGAGTTTAGAAATGGTACTAGTTAGAATGAGCCTGTTTTTGTTTGTTTTCTGCTGCTATAATGAAATACCCGAGTGCAGAATTTGTTTATAAATAAGAGAGTTGTGCTTAGCTCACAGTTTTGTTATGGCAGATGGCATCATGGTGAGAGTGCATACGGGACAGGGAGGTCACATGGAAAGTCAGAACACAGAGACCCAGACTTGCTCTTTCATGACAACTCCCTCCGGTGAGAACTAGCTGGGGTCCCATGAGAACAAATTAATTCCTGCCAAGGACAAGTGCCCCAATGACCCAGTCACCTCGCACTAGGCTCCACTTCTCAAAGGTCCTCTCTCATGGTCACCTTGGGGACTGAGCCTCCAACACACAAACCTTTGGGGGACCAGCCACGTCCAAACCAAAAGCAGAGTCTTTTCCTTCCCTTATGTCAACTCTGCTACTATAACTGGAATTGGGTTGCAATTCCTGCTTTCTAGATGCTCCTAGGACCAAAGTTTCACCTCTTAAAGCATGGGCTTAATTCTGTGAAAAGGCAAAAGACACTCAGAACTGTGGCTGAGAAAAAGCTCGGGTGGCTCAAATTGGTGGAGGCCAGGTTTGAGCAAACGCTCTCTCCCGAGACACATGTCCCTCTGTGTCATTCTATAAACAGCTCTGAGAGCACTTTCCCAAAGGGGAGGTCCCCATTTGTTTTGAGCCATGGTTGGATTACCATCTTTCAGGGCACTTGCTCTGAAGAACAACATGCACATAGTATAGACAGTAAGGATGTTTGTTTAAGGTCGGTCCCTAAATTGTCAAATGTAGGCACTTAACCCTGCTACCTGAGAGCGCGGCTGAGCTGGGAGCATGTGGCAAGCTACCAGCAGTTAATGAAAACATATGATCAAAATCATGTAGTAAATTTGGTATGGTAGCTCACACCTGTAATCTCAGCTACTCAGAAGGCAGAGATAAGGAGGACTGCAATTTGAGGCCAGCTCAGGAAAAAGTGAGACTTCATCTCAACCAATAGCTGGGCATGGTGATGATACCTGCTATCCCAGCTACTTGAGAAGTGTAACTAGGAGGACTGCAGTCCCATACAGCCTGGACATCAACTCAAGACCCTATTCAAAAACAAAACAAAAAAAAAAACCCACTAAAACAAAAAAAGGCTGGGGGCATGGCTCAAGTCCTACAGTGCCTGCCCAGCAAGTGCAAGACCCTGGGTTCAAACCCACCCCCCAAGTTTACCAATCGTGGTAAACTTCTAAGTCAAGTCACGAGCTCTGAAACAGCAGCTGAGAAGTATCTCTGCAGAACAAAGCAGGAACGACAAAAGTCACTTGGCTTGGAGGAGAGAGGAGAGCCCTCTGGTTGGCAGGGAGATGGCACAACGGCCACTGCCTCACTTAGGTCCCTCTCCCCTTGCTGCAGAATGTACTGGTAACCGAGCAGTTCACAAAAATACTGGACGGGGTATGCGCCATCCACCCCCAGCTGGACGTGGTATGCAAGACAATGCAAGGCTTCTCTGCCAGAAAAATCCTCTCCCTGTGGATGAACCCCATGAAACTCATCCAGGTGAGCTCCCACCTTCCTCGAGGAGCCTCCAGGGAGCCCTGGAGGAGGTTGGCATTTGGCCCCAGTAGCTACCCAGAGTGTTGATACCATCCTTTCTAGCAAGCAGGCACAATTATTCCCTGTGGACACTGAATCCATCCACAGAGCTTCCCTCCTCCTGAAGAGGGAAGAGAGGAGATCTGGCTAAAGCCAGAGAGGCTTGGCACAGGGTGGATTCTACCACCCCAGCCATCCATTTACTAAGGTACCACCAAAGGCAAGTCATTGAGGCTCTGTGCCTCAGTCTGTTCACCTGTGAAATGGGCATGATAATACCTGCCCCGGTTGGATTGCTGTGATTAATTACTTAATATGCATAAGGTACTTGGAGCAGTGCCTGGCACCCAGTGAAGGCAGTCTCTTTCTGACAACTGGGGAGGATGCCAAGACATCCTGTGATTGGGATGGTTATTTGGTGACCAGTTAGAGAGGGGCACTTGAGTCCTTTGTTTCTAATGATAACTTGCACCTGGCTCAAGCCCTTTTCTTAGATTGTCCCTGGAAAATCACAAGAAGTAGATGTAACAGTGCAAATTTAAAAAACAGAGAATATTAGAGCTAAAAAGGGGGAGGGGAGGTATTGGTCATCTGGTCCCATCACCTCATGGAGCCATGACCAGCCCCAGGTCTGTTTGTCACCAGTAGTGGAAATGGGGGCGCCTCTGCTGGTTGCTATTTGGGGGTGCTGTGCACATGTAGGTTCTGCAGGTGTGTGCCCTGAGGGCTGCCTCCTGCCCCCGGCTGCTCTGCTCTGGGTCTGAGTTTCTAACACCAAATTAGAAAGCTCTCATGTGAGAACTATTACGGTATAAAAAGTTCTAGAAGGCAGAGGAGTATCGGTATGCTTATGAGCCAGATGGCTTCAGATGGAAGCGAGGGGAAGACCGTTTTGCAAGGGGAGCTGGATGTCCCAGTGTGACACGGAGCTCTGTGGTGCGGAGTTCTGCCCTTTAGTTTAAAAGTGCGTAGAAATGGGGGACGCCTGAGTGGAGAGAGAGCTGTGGAGGTGGAGCCAGAGTCCACGTGCCACTGGGTCTCCAGGACAGAAAAAAACATGGAAAAAGAATCTTGGGCCCGGCTTAGGGGTGCATGCCTGGAGTCTCAGCACTCAGGAGACTGAGTCAGAAGATCGTGAGGTTAAGTTTGAAGCCAGCCTGGGGTATAGAGTGAGACCCTGTGAAAGGAAAAGAGAGAGAGAAAGGGGGAAGGAAGGAAGGGAGGAGGGAAAGAAAGGGAGGAGGGAAAAAAGGGAAGGAGGAAGAAAAGGAAGGATTGAAGCTCAGGTAGAAACCAAACTGACCTGTAGGGTGAAGCAAGGTCTTCCCATCGCGGGGTCTACAATCTGGTTGGAAAAGTGGACTAGATTCAGCGTGTGTTAAGTGACACAAAAGGGACAAAGGCAGCCATGTAATCAGAACCTGAATTTGAGATCACGGTTGGAGTGGATGAACAGACAAACAGAGCGGGTGACCTCCCTGCAGAAGTGGGGCTGGGGAACGGCCTATGAGGAGCAGAAGGCTTTGGGGAGGGGCATTCTCGGAAGTGGATCCCCACCAGGGAAGGCGCACAGGTGACTGCGCACAGAGCGATTGTGTACAGCACGAATCTGGGGAGGACCATGAGACTCGGGGCTCATACAGAAGCCTGAAAGTCAAAGCCAACCACGAAGGTTGGGCTGGATGTGGTGTCCTCGGACTTAAGAGTTGGGGTTTGATTCCATCAGAAGCAGGGAGCCAGTGAGCAGTGACTGGCATGTGATCCAGCAGGGCTGAGGGGTGGCTTCTGTGGCATTGGGGAACAGGAAAATCAAGCAGGCCTTCAGCTAGTGTCCTAGATGTAGAATGACACCTTGGCTGGCAATGACAGTGGAAGTGAAGGACAGACATAAGCAATGTCGTTATAGGAATGTCTCGGGTCTTGGTGAATGGTTGGGTGTGTGGAGTGTAGGCCTTAAGAGGGGAGGCCAATGGTGAGAGGAGAAACTCAAAGACAACCTGAAACGTCAAGCCCAGGAGCTAAAAGAAAGATGGTCACACTGCCAGAAGCACGGAAGCCCAGGTCAGGAAGTGTGACCAAGTGACTGCCACCCGGTCCTGCCTGCCCTCCCCATCCTCCCCCACTGTCTCCACATTTGCCCCTGCTGGATTTCCCCCATTCCTTGTGCCTCATTTCTCTCTAACTGCAGGCCTGTGCACATGCAGGTCCTTCCAGCACACGCTCACCTTGCCCTCGGTGTCTCACCCATTCCTACTCATTCACCAGGTCACTCAAGCGTCGCCTCCTTGGGAGGAACCCTCCCAGGACTCTCCAGCCAAGAGTACTTGCCCTTGCCGTAGGCGCTGGTAGCTCCAGGTGTTAGCCTTTTATCGCCTCAGCCTATGCAAGGCCCCTGCTTAGAACAGCTGCCAACAACCAGGGCCTAAGCCACTCAGTTGCCTTCTCCCATTCCCCTCAGGACCCTTTCTGGGTCCTGGAGCTTGGGTTGCCCCTTGTGGAACGGGAGGGCAGTTGTCGTAGTTGTGACAAGGACAAGTGTTTGCTCCTGGTGTCTCCTGCTTCCCTCAGGGCTACGCAGACCGGCAGAAAATCTCAGTTGTGGAATTCTTCAAGAGCTTGAACCCTACGGGGTCAATGACGATGCCTGTGGGCGAGTTCCGGAAAGCTATGGTACAGGTGCGCTGATTCCTGGGGGCTGTAGGCACTTGTGAGGGGACAGAGGAGCAGGGGTGGGGAGAAGAGAAGAGAGAGCGCATGCGTGTACTTCAGAGCCTTCCCTGGGATTGGCTGTGGGCATTCACCTTGTTTTCCTAGAGGGGAACCTGAGACCTCTTCAACCCCCTGCCACAGACATTCTCTGTGTTGTGTGACCTGATACCACAGATCATTACACATTGCCAGGTGTGGTGGCACATGCCTGTAAACTCTCCAGAGGCTGAGGCAGGAGGATCATGAGTTCAAGGCCAGCCAGGGATACACAGTGGGGTGGGGGGAAAGTGCCACATGCTCTCCCCACTGCATTTGGCTACTGGAAAGATCAAAGAGGAAGTGAGAGAAGTGACCATATCTCAAAACCCCAGTATTTCCATCTTTGGCGCCACCATTCCTCTCACTCCCAATCTAATGGAGGTGCTGAAACACACCCACACAGGGGTCCATCATGAGTGCATCTTGGCAGCCGAGGCAGTGATAGAGAGCTTGGTACTCAGGCCATGGTGGAACAGGCTGGCCAGGTCTAGGTAGTAGAAGCAAGAATGACCTTTGTATGGTGCAAAGGAGAGTTTCCGTCCATCCCCGGAGCCACCCATGTCACCTGCATCCTGGTCTCCTTCCCCTTACTGCTCCCCAAAAAGGGAGGCCTCCTGGAGTCTGGGTGGTGACCACAGCAGGGGCTTCCTCCAGCCACATGGTGGATCCAGTCTCCTCTGAACCCTCAGTTGCCACCGAGGTCCCAAGAGGAGTGAGGCATTATGGGGACACCTGGATACAGAGCTCCGTAACATGTTCCTTCTACCTTCTCAGCAAAACAAGGTCACTATAAACCGGTATCAAGTCAGGGAGCTGATTAAGAAGCTGGACAAGAGGAAGGGCATGGTGAACTTCAGGTGAGCCCAAGCCGGAAGCCTTTCTTGCTCTCTCCAGGGGTCCTGGCTGGCTGGTGGGAGCCTCCCAGGCCACCCATCCGTGTTCTAGAAGTTAAAGGACACCACCTGTGGCCAGTGACTGCCTTGTCCCTGGATCCCAAGGCCAGGCTCCACTGTTTACTTTCCTTCTTGCCCACAGTTCACTTGCGTAGCAAGGCTATTGGTTGCTGGACCAGACTCTGGGACCAAGGCCAGAGGAGCTCCAGCCCAGCCCTGTCCAGCCCATGTGACAAGAGGGCAAATGTCTAGGCCATGCCCCAGGTAAGGGGAGCAATTGGGGGTGCATGTCAGGTGCCACTTCAGCCCAGAAGAGGGGAGGTAGCTGTCAGGGGGGAGTGGTGGCATTTCAGCCATGCCCCAGGTAAGGGGAGCAATTGGGGGTGCATGTCAGGTGCCACTTCAGCCCAGAAGAGGGGAGGCAGCTGTCAGGTGGGGGTGGTGGCATTTCAGCTGGGTCTGGCAAGATGGATGGACATAGACAAGAGGGTGGAGGGACATAGAGAGCCAAGTGTCCAAGTGTGAGTTGGCATGGTGTGCTGAGGAGCCACAAGTCATTCACTCTGCCATAGTGTAGGAGCAAGGTGGGGTGTGACTTAGGCTGAGTTCCCTGGAGAGAGGGGAAAGGACAGTAGCAATAGTTAGTGTTCACTGAGCCTTAACCACACACCAAGCACTCACCATTTGCCAGAAAGGCAGGGTAGCTGAATTCCCACCATTCCCAACAGTAGCAATGTCACCTGTGTTGTGAGCGATGAGACTGAGGTTGGAAAGATGAGGCAGAGAACCTAAGTCCTCGAAGCTGGAACAGGGCAGCTTTTGTGCTTGACCTCAAGTCTGTGTGGTTCTAGAACTTGTTCTTTCACCCACTGCACTTGACCACCTTGTTGAAGTGCAGGTGCTACCGCTGTCAGGTCTGTGTCTGCAGGTGGGCACCCATGGGAGCTGCCCTGTGTCCTCAGGAAGGCCCTCTGGTCCTGTCCCACAGCCTTTTCCTCAAACCTCTGCCCTTTGCCATGTCCAACACCGTCTTGCAGATGTGAGGGTGGTGGAGGGGGCAGGCGCCTGGCTGCTAACCCCACTCTGATTAGTAAGCCCTATGTTCAGGGCTCCCAGGTCCTCTGGTCTTTAAATGGGTGATGAGCACAGCACACAGGATTCTGTAAGGAGTAAGTGAGGAATGCACACAGGGGACTGGCACATGTGGTGTCACATGTTATCCAACACAGGCTTGCAACCCTCCCCGCCTCTGCCCTCCACTCTTGGGCTGTCCTTGGGCCTCTGCCCTGTAGCTCCTCACCTACCTTTCCTAGAGTGGCCCCTCTTGTCCCTTGGGAGGCTGGCAGAGAGGCCCCAGGATAGAGTTCTCAAGACCAGGTCTGGTAGGTTCCAAGTCTTAGCAAATTACCCAGATGTGCAGATGAGGTCGCATGGCTGTCAAGAGCTGGAGCCTGGGTCCCAGTCTCCAACTGGGGGGCTTTCAGGGCCCCCTCAAATTACACCCACCACTTTATTAGTTGTGATTGAAAAGTAGAGTTGTAAGTTTGGGTGTTGTATTTTTTAATTTTTTGGTGGTACTGGGGTTCGAACTCAGGGCTCACAATTGCTAGGCAAGTGCTCTGCCACTCGAGCCACTCCCTCAGCCCATATTATTTTGTTACAGATATTATCTCCTTATAAAAATCCTAAATCCACAGATGTATAGCAAGGAGAAAATGAAGGCCCCCTTTACTCTCCCACACAGTTCACTCTGCCTGCCTCCCCACGGGGTTCTTGGAGCAAGTTCAGGTGCATATTTCCATGCCTTTTCATGTACTTGTAATCGACTATGTGTGTGTGCAATGGGCTTGGGTTTGGGTGTGAGAGAGATGATGGCTAAAAACATAGATTGTAGGGCCAGACCACCTGAATTCCAATCCCAGTTCCACATCTGTGCCTCAGTTTCCTCATCTGTGTTAGGGGCCACTAATAGTACACACAGTGTACGAGTTTTGAGGATTGGATGAGCTAATGCCTATGAAAACATTCAGGACTGCACTTGGCATGTGGTGGGCAGGCCCACAGTATGCATGTGCTTTCGTTGCATATAGTTCTACACACACACACACACACACACACACACACACACACACACACTTTTCGTGTGTGTGTGGAACCAGGGCTTGAACTCAAGGCTTTGCATTTGCCAGGCAGGCACTCTACTGCTGGAGATACATCTCCAGCCCTGTGTGTTTTAGTTCTTTTTCAGATTGAGTTTTGCATTTTTGCCTGGGGCTGGCCTACTGACACCTCCTGTGTAGCTAGGATTACAGGCGTGAGCCTCTGTGCCCCACCACACACAGTTTTTACTCATAAGTTGAATCAGACTCTCGTGTTCCTCTGAACTTGCTTTGTTTAACAGATCACTGTGGTGATCTTTCCACGTTGGCCCACTTAGCTCCCTCTCCATCTTTTTAACTGTCACATAGTATTTCATAGAATGGCAGTCTGTAGTTGAATCTCATTTGCATAGGCATTTAAACTATTTCCAATATTTTGCTAATAAAGATAATAGTTACAAACATCCTTGGTATACAGGGTTTGCACTCATGTGAACATTTTAAAATTGGCTTGGGGTGTTAAAAGGTGAGCACATTCTAAAATTTAAATCTGCCCTTTCCTTGCCACTCATATAAACCAGCACTCTACAGAAGCCCTGGGCCCACACTAACCTTAACCCACGTTCGATGTTTTGCCAAAATGAGAGCGTTTTCTAACAGGTGTCATTTAATTGAGCACGTCTTAACACTCTTGCCCACCAACCATGAGGCTGCATTGCCATTCATTCTTACTCCCTTACCTTTCAAACCAGTGTCTTCAAAGAGCAGACGTCATAGCAGCAGGTCCGATCTAGAAAGAAGCTCTGACGAGAGAAGCCTTGGCAAGTCGGTGGCAATGAGGAGACGTAGAGGTGGCTGAAAACTCAGTAGATGAATGCCACAGCCACAGCCAGGGCTGTGCATGAGCAAATAAAGTGTAGGGCTGGTGTTGGCATGGATCTGGACACCTCTGGGCTGTGGGTGCTGTGCCCCTCACTGGCTGTGGGAGGCACCTTCTGGTTTTAGTGACCACCAGGGTGGGTGGCCTTGTTAAGAGCCACAAGAACAAACTGGGGATATAAGAGAGTTACTAGCAGAAGGAAAAGAGCCTGTGGAGAGCAGGTCAGGACACAAAAGCAGTGGTCATGGTCACTGTGAAAGAGTTCCAAGATGCTGGGCAATGGCAGAGGTGGACCAAGGCTGAGGAGATAAGGGGGGGAGCCTATAGAGGCAAACCCCATGGGGTTACATGGAGGGAGCCTGGGGCAGGAGATTAAGAGACCTGGCAACCAGCCATGGCCAGTAACCACCTTACCACTTGACCTTGGAGCCTCAGTTGTCCCATGTGTCCAACAGAACAGCTGACATGAAGGCTCCCAGTGCTTTCCCGAGCCCATCATCCTGCACTGCATTTTTGTTTTGTTTTTGGTGGTTCTGGAATTTGAAGTAAAGGTCCCATGCTTGCTAGGCAGGTGCTCTACCACTTGGGCCATGCCTCCAGCCCTGCCATTGCATGTTAAAATTCCTTGAACAGCAGGGTGGACAGGCAGAACTAAGGGGAAGTAGAAAGAGCAGCCAACCAGGGCATACACGGCTCCCGTGGGTGGAAAGGGCTTGCTGAAGGATTTTGATTAACCTCGACAGTCACCATTGTGACCAAGCAGGACATGTGCTGTCACATGCACACTGTGATCAGCATGGACACACAGATGGACAATGACCAGGGGGCTTCCCTGACAGCATTGCTCAACCCCAAGCATGTTCCTCAAGTTGTACTTCCATCGACTAAGTGGTAAGATAGGGGCTCAGAATCAAAACTAGGATGACGAAGAAAAAATAAAGTGAAACAACAAGGAATTTATGGCCAAAACTCACCCCTTGCTGGACATGCCCAGGCACCCTGGCTCTCAGTGACTTTGAGTCAGGGATGGCCTTTAGCACTTCTAAAACCACAGAATTCTCAAAGTTCTCTGTAACTGTTGGGGCTGAGTGAGACTCCAAGGATTGTGTGGGTTAGGAAGAGCAGTCATGAGGCATCCGAATGTGTAATGGACGAATTTCAGTTCTGTGATAGTTATGAATACATTAAAAACCGTGACTTTTTTTCATCTTTTGCATAAAATTGAAAGACAGAAATTGTTCTTACAAATCTTATTTTTGTTCGGGTGAATCTGGGGACATGATGACGATATAGGGAGCTAAACTCTTACCCACCTCAACCCCCGACCCTCCAGGTCACCTTGACACTGACTTCCCCTCTCCAAGAGAGAGATGGGTGGCCAGTCCCCAACCTGTGGGCACTATCTCTGGATGCTTCCCCAAGGTGGAGTCATTCCTACCTGTGGCCACTAGGTGTCAGGTCAACTCCAAAAGTCCTCACCAGGGCCACGCTCCAAAACTTGGATTCAGTTACCTTGCACTTGCTCTGACTTTCTGACCTTCTGGCCAAAAATCTGAATCCCAAGGGTCCAGCAGCCTACTTTTGGGCAAACCCCCTCCAGGGCCCCATGTTCTCACAGTGAATCAAGGTTACGGCTGACTACCTTGCATCTTTGTCCTGAGGAAGAAAAGCAGACACCTGGGCAGAGCCTCACAGTGAGTCTCCTCCCCAGCCAGCCCACCCGGCGCTGAGCAACCTGAAGGCAGGAGACAGATCCACAGGGCAGCCCTGCTCAGGCAGCTCACCAGCATGATGTGTCAGGAGGGAAGAGAGAAGGGGCCCATGGGGGCTGCAGCACCTCCACTTCCACAGACCACAGAGGAGGCTCTGGGACCTTGGAGGAGAAGCAGCGGCCGGTCAAGGTCAGAGACAGGCCAGAGGCACTAGGCTGGCTGCACTCTGGAAAAAGCAGCCTGGCTGCCACCTCTGTTCATACCCAACTCAGTTCAGCTTTAAGCATCCTCCCAGTGATTCTGTGCAGTGAGCACTGTCAATAAACCCATTTCACAGGTGGGAAAATGGAGGTGTAGAGAAGTGAAGCCCCAAATCACCCAGCTAATAAGGAGTAATGCTGAGATTCAGATACTGACACTGTGGCTCGGTCATTGAGTCTTGACCACGATGCTTCCCTGTTCCTCTTAGGTACTCGTGTAGCTTCCATCAACAGGAGGAGTTCAAATGGGGTGGCTCTGTTTCCTTTCTACTCCAAAGAGGAAGAAATTAAG